TAGAGGACATATCAAAAACTTGTTATGAACTTATCAAAAACAAATACACATGTTTTGTATTTGTTTAGAGATAACCAGTAAAGAAATTTTTCCTTTTATGATCACTTTTGTCATCTGAATTCCTTCATTAATGTTCAAATATAAATACCGTATTTATATGACTTAATGCATTCATTCGAGATTACTTATTGAAGGATTACTAGTTATTAATATATTTCATTTCATTATTAAGCTCTTGTTGATCACAATAACTGTACATAAGCACATCATTACGTCTTATTCACATATATTATGTTTGAAAAGCAATTTACAAACTTGTTAATGTCAATTATGATATTTAACTAAACTAATCCCTAAAATCTATTATGATATAAGCAAAATAAATATCAAAATAGTTAATTTCATTCCTGATACTTTTGTCAAGGCTTTTTAACTCAATAACTATTTAAATTTCCATCTTCGACATGTTCTATATCAGGGATGGCCAACATGTAGACCGCAGTTGACCGGTCGACCGCAAAGGTTTTGAAAGTAGCCCGCGAAGCTAAAGTTGAACAATTTGCTTTCACTTAAATTAATGTTTAAAAATCTTAATTCGATAATTTATTCTTACAATAATAGACTGTCTGTGCAACGTACCCATACTGTTTGTATTTATCCCGATGAACAATGCAAATGAATGTCAATGCATGCGTATATAAAAATCCTAAAATTGCCCATATTCATAGTCGCCCACAGACTATATTTTACCAAAATAGTAGCCCCTAAGGAATAAAAGTTTGGCCACACCTGTTCTATATACTTGTGTAGTTATTTGCACAAATAACATACACAACATTATCTGTCTTTCTTAGATTCTGCATTAGACAGGCTATTTTATGGAAAAAATCTGACAATGTCAAAATAAATACAAGTCAACCTAATTAATCAATGCATTTTTAACAGTGAGTGAATTTAAAGAACACTAACATTTTTAACCTGGTTAATGGGTTGAAAATGTTAGCATTGAAAGCTTCACTCACTGTTAAAGGTTCATTGATTAATTTGGCCAAGTAACCACAGGAGCTACTTCAACCTTATTAATATGTTTGTCTTAAGGAGGTTCTTCCTCCCGTAGTGTATGTATTTGTCAGATTTCAACAGGAGTTTATATATGGAAAAGAGTATTTTAATCATAGTGTTATTTGGCATTCCTCTAAATTAAATTAGAATAACTGAACAAAGCTCTGCAAAAATCAGAAAGTATTTTGTCTGTGATCAAACTTTAAAGCAACTACATGACCACTAAACACGATTTTTGCAGATGTGTACAATCGGCAAGAACGACGCTGCAACGAAGCTACAATTTTCACATTCAGTCTATGTGCCGAGATATTCAAAGTCAAAGTTTGCCACAAAGTCTATGTTTTCATTGCCAGTTGTAAGCTGATTGCATGCTATGTGTCAATTGAATTTCTAACTTAAATTGATCTCTATAAAAAATTTTTATTTTAGATTCAGATCAGTTTTAAACCCTTATTTTTGGTCCAGTTTTAGTTTTCTATCCCATGTATTTCAGTTTCATTTTCCTACAAAATACCTAGTAATGTTATCAAAATTTTATAAATTACAAACTGAAAGTGAATGAAGATCCATTTTGTCATCTCAATTGTTCCATTGCAAGTACAGTGGGTGATCGGTTAAAGAACATAATCCATTCCAAGACTTTGTTCGTTATCCGAATTGTTCGTTAACAGATTATCGATTTACCATAGGTTTCTATGGGAATTTGATTAATTTGTTCTGGAGACCTCCAAAAAATAAAAAAATATAGACTATACTTTCTTATTATGTTTATTTATATGTAATAATAAAAATACATATATACACAGTCTTGCATTTTTATTAGTCATGTTTTTTCCGTTTGTGGAGGTTAATTAATTAATTAAAGAATCTGTCCAATATCGATTGCTTTTCTGTCTTCTTTATGATTTTTCAGAAGTAATTAATAGCATTGTAATTGTAGAGAACCCTAGGCCTATTAACCTCAACCTGGTTTGGATGCCATTTTAAGACCGTTGTTCTGTCAGAACAACGTCCTCCCACTTCTTTAAAAGATCTTTAATAGCAGATATCGGCATAAATCCACATTTTCATAAGAAAATGTAAAAGAATTGTTTCTGTCAGAAATATAAAAAGCTGGAATTACAAGGGAGAGTTTCAAAGTTCGGGAGAATACTATCCTATCAGTATATACTGGGTAGAACGTCGATGTCTACGTCTCCCGCGCTCCGAAAAGTTTTGAATTGTTGCCTGAAGACAAAGGAAGACCAATCGGTATTCGTTATTTTACGTCTCTTCTTTTTGTGTTTGTTCAGTCAAGTGTTCGTTATCTGAACATGTGTTCGTTGTCCGATTGTAAAAATCTTTCGCGAAAGTGTTCGTTATCCGATTCGTTCGTTAACCGATCACCCACTGTATATCAATATTATAGTGTAAATATACCTGTGCAAAACAATCAATTATACCAAAATCCACAGCAAACCAAAAAAAACAAAAAAAAAAAAACTGAAACATGACTTAAAATATCAGATAAGTCCTTTCAATTACATTATAACCAACAACACAATTGTGCATTTTAATTAAATTTAATTTAGAGTTATCATTTTCTAAATAAATAAACAAATACATTCATAAAAGAATAAATGCAGATTTTTGGTTAAGACACTTCCTTTTTTTTACATTCTATGTTGTATTTCCTATAAACTTACAGAATTACTGACCTAGAAATATTAGAATATTCCTAAATCATTTCTTTTTTATTAGAAATACCATTAAAATAATAATTAAGTGAAGCATCAAAAATCTGGATTTGGTAGTCATAAAATGGATGTTCACTGATAACTTCATTGTTGATGTTCATTTGGCTATGTATCGTTGATGTTGTAACATTCAATCAAAATTTTGTAATTTTTATTTTATTGTGATTGTAATTTTTTATAATTTTGAAATTATGATTACTGTATTTTTTTGTGTAAATGTAGTGATTCTGTAAATTATATTTTGAATTTTTGTAAATATTCCTACATTCCTTGTGAAATACTGGCTTGAACATAGAACACTAAAGCTTGAATTATAGTGTATTTGTAATTTACAGTATTTATTTGGAAATCTGGATGAAGTCTAGTCTCAATTACTCTGGATTTTCGATACTTCACTGTGTTTAGAAACTGCAAAAACATTTATTTGATTAACTATATTTTAAATACATTCATTAATAATATTTTATCATAAAGGAAATTTTATAACTAATGACAACAGCAGGAATATGCCATTTAGGGGCTGTACATAAACGATAACCACACTGAAAAAGAGGGAGGGGGTTAAATTTGTGACATTTATATCTAAACATTGTCTATATAAAGGGAAAGATTTGAATTTAAAGTGAAATTAATTTTAACTTATTGCCTAATCTTTCTACCTATTTTAAATTAAACTGCATCAGAAAAATTAGATGTTTGTGTATGCAAGACTTACAATTAGCAATGAATAGTGAATTATTTTATGCATTAATAGATTTGTCTAATTAATTATTTGGTTGCAAGCATAAGATCATAAGGACTTTTTATAAATAATTAAACTAATGCATCAATTATGCAAAAATCAATTATCTGAAAAACTAATTGATTGAAGTCAGCTTCGGTGTGTCCCAATTCCAGAAATTGCAAAGTTTTTAACTAATAACAATTAACTGTTCTGTAGGCCACAATCAAGCTACCTTGTCAGCAATAGTGTTATGTTTTACTACAATACAAATAGAAAAGTATGATTCATAGACTTCTAATGCATCAAATGCTTCACTGTGCTTATGTACAGTGAAGCATTTGATGCATTAGTGTTGAAATAGTTATAAATGCAACCTATTTCAACTCTTATGATAATCAAGCAAGCTAGGGATTTAGTTAAAAAGAAAATAAAACTGTAAAACAAAGCAAATTAAATTATTTCTTCCAAAAAAATGAATTGTAATAAATAATTTTTACACAAGTACTATACCTTATTTAATTTTATCATCAGTACATTGTAAATTGTAATGAAGGACTAGTGCTTGTTTTTAATAAATTAGACAATTTTTTTGTTATTTCTTATCATTCACATGTATTAAATTTCTACACCTTAATCTGTTTTTGTTATTGTACTAGAGTAACAATTAATATTTTTACTATACTTAAGATATTTATCTTTCTATTCTTTCCTTATCAAACATGATCAGTTATATGAAATTATTACATACCAATTATTTTGATGCTTTACTGTGCTCTCATTTCATATCAGAAAACATCAAGAAATTTAAATAAGAAACACTTAACTAAAACTTCATTAAGATTTTATAAACAAAAAATGAAATTACATAACTAAAACTTAATGCAGATCCATGTTTTAAGAAATAAGCATATTACAAAATGGGTAGAAATGACCCTAGTCATGCACACTTGACAAAATACAATCTTCAAACCTAATTTAATAACATTCAATATATATAGTTCGCAAAACTTATTAACAATTGTTTTTAGTTTTTCTTCAAAAAAAAATTCCAAATATATGTTTAAGTAAAAACTTCAATGTACTATTAAGAAGAATGTTTTAAAATTACCTATAATTCCAGTATAAGCAAATTTGAAATCATAAAATTCATATCATTTACAGTCTAAGTGGGAACACATTCAGAATCAGTGAAAATAGGTTATCTTTGGTAATTTTTTAAAATTTATTTATTGATCTATAAATTGGAGATATTATATTGATGTATTAATAAAATTTGTCTATTCAAAGATTAATTCTACAGTCAAATATTAGAAACGGGCAAAACAGGAAACGGTCCCCAGAAATTGGGGACAACCAGACTCTACCTAACGTACGACAAACAACAATTCTATCAGATGTTTTAAAAGTGTCCAGATGGCAATTTCCTTACTAAATACTAAAGTTTATTTTTAAAAAAAGCAAAGTTAACACGGTACCATTTCCTTTTAATAGCAGACACACATTTGTATTGTATTGGCGTGACAAAATCTCATCATGCCAATACAACAAATTCATCTTTGCATCGGGGATCCGAAGTCAATTCAATACACATCTCGTATAACTGCATGCAATAAACAAACAAACACAACAAAAACCAAAAATTCCAGCAGTAAAATAATACTTTAATACATAAACTGACATTTTTGACTGCGTCGATTAATCATCTTCCGGTTTTAAATACCATTATAGTTATTTAAAACCCAAATTTTACACGTTAAACAACCTCGGCTTTACGCATTAAAGTATTCTTTTACTGCCATTTTCTTGGTTTCTGGCGCATTTGCAAATTTCACTTAGACCCGACCAGATTTAAGTAAAACGGAATTCAAGGTTACGACGTCGGCATTCCGCAATAGAGCCAACAAAGCGGACAAACACGAGACTCCGACACTTCTCATTTCTCCGCACAAACGTAACAGACGAACAATGTAAAGCTGTTAACGTTAAGTTAATAGAGAACACCTTTACATTGCTCTTCTGTTACATTTGCACAGGAAAGCAAAGGTGCTAACCGAATTAAATTCATTGTAGAGCATAATTCATGTCTAGAACATTGTAATTACTGAGGGACAAGTCTATATCATGACATAAACATTTAATTGAATGCTTAATTAATTCAAACACCAGAAAAAAAAATGCAGAAATTCTTTCACAGTTTAAAACTCATCACTAATTAAATAATAAGTTTTAAATATATAAAATTATCGATTTATTTATTATTTATATCCAATTAATGACTAAATTAAGCAAGAAATTATAATTATATAAAAATATTTATAAAAAGATTTAAAAGTAAAGAATTGCACCATAAACATCTGAAGAGATAAACAAATAAAATAATTAAGAGAAAAAAAAACTTAAAAATAAATTCTAATTATAAACTTTCTTACCTTTTAATTTACAATTTCGTATTTACTATAATAACGGGAAATAATTAAAATTAAATTCATCGCATTTCAACTTTTTAAAAAAAAAATAAAAGAAAATAAAATAAAAATAAAATGTAATCGAGTTTTCACCTGTAGATGGCGTAAGGTTTAANAATTTTAAAATACATTAATAAAATTATTTATTATTATTTATTTCTTATCCCGTTTTTAGTATTATTATTCAGATAATTTTCTATACGAATTCGATACCTTTTTTTTTTTAAATAAAATTTTAAATCTTACCGAAAATCTTCGCTTGTTTTTCAAATGTATGGCGCAAGGTACAAAATTTTTAGTATCAAAATAATATAAACTGCAATTTAAACGATTCCGTGTTAAATTTATGCACATAAAAACAAAATAATTGAAAACGTTAAGTCGTTTGGTATCCATTTTTGATAAATTACAAAATGAGATGAAAATTATGAAGTCTGGCAACACTTAATACGAAATTTAAAACTTATTGGTCATTTTGAAATGAAATACACGCTACAAACTAGCGTCGCGGTAACTACGGCTACGTCATTCACTCAGGCCGGCAAATAGAAATTAAATTCGGTTCGCTCTAGTTTTTTGAAATACCGCTAGGTTCGCTCTTTGATTTATTTTATCTCGGTTAAAAAAGATAAACACAAATGAATTAGAAAGTTTTTTTTATATTCGTATTATTTATAGAAATGGCATACTTCAATTAATAAAATTATTAGTTTTTAACTTTTTTGAAACTGTCGTCCTAGCTGGCTTGATGTATGGCGCGTGAATCTTGAAACTCCCTCGGAAACTCGTTGCCGCATTGTGTAGTATCATTTTTTAAACTCTTCTGTGGGCACTGCGAGAGTCTTTTTATCAAGCCCATCGCGTATTCGGCCAGGCTCACAAAGGGGTGAGAGAATGGTGAAAGATGGGGTTGATATATCCTGGACAGACCACTCGTAAAAATTTTTTGCGGTGTTACCTGCCCGGATTCGATCCCGGATCCTCCAGAGTGATATGCCCTAGAGTGAATACTTAAAATAATATTCTACATACAGCCAAATTTCAATATAACGCCCTCCTAACTAACGCCACCTTCGTGTAGAGCCAATGATTATAATACTTGTAAACGGATTTTCCCGATAAATATTAGATAACTTCACGTACTTTCATGTGTGGCCTTATGTGTAGATCTCATTGCTAAATATAATTCATGTTTGAGGCTCTCGAGTTAAGCGCCGCACTCGATTTATGGCCAGTTTCATAGGCCAACAAATGGTGGCATTAGGCTGCGCAGCCAAGGTAGTAAGGGTCAATCTTTCACCCTGAAGACCCGAAATTGAATCGGGGCAGTCGAAAAATACTAGAAATTTTTCGGGGTAGTCTGTTCCGAATATGTCGGGATCCATCCCTCGCCATCGGCCCTCCTATTGGACGAACCGGTAACAGGCTTGAAAATAGGCCCTCTTCCTTGTGTAGAATATAATTCAATATTTGCTTTTTATCTTAGAATAATGAAACATTATACTACGTAAAAATAAATCTTCAAAATTCTTTGATATATATTCAAGTAAATTTTAAATTTTATAAAACAGAAAATTATATCAAATTTCATAAATAATGCGACGTCATTCGCTTAGAGTCATTGACGACAACAATTATGCAACGGGCGTTTTCGGCAATTGTTTACGAATTAACAATACAAATGCGATTGTTCTTTGTTCGAATCAAGACGGCATTTTTATATTCCTCGCAATTTCTAAGAAAAATACTGAAATTTTGTCTTGTTTTAAAAGAATTGAGATAAGAAGGCCGAGAAATGGGAGAATAATTGCGGGAAAAAAGAATGAAATTAAATGTTTGGAAGTCAATATTAACGAACTTGACAAATGACTATTGAACGAAGCCATCTTAAATGAATTCATATTACAGGTTCATATTACATTTCATTTAATATAAATATACAGTAAAATCTGTCTATGGCGATCACCCACGGTTCCTTCAAAAAGTGGTCTTTTAGACAGGTGGTCGTCTAATACAGTTGGTGCTGTAATACCGTATTTCCGTACGTATTTTGCTCACATTTTAGCCATTTCTACTAAGCGAAACTCCAGGTGAGTAAAAATAAGCGAATTTTTTCAACGATACAGCTATATTCGTATTGTATTTTATTCTTATCGGATAACTCGATTTACAGGAGTTTGTCGTGATTTTATAAGACAGATTTAATACCAATATTTTAAAGATTAATACAGTACTCGCATTTTCTCGATTATAATGCACACTTTCTTTTTTCCGACTTAATTAATTCAACTCAGTTGTTTTCGTTCGCTCCTCAGTTACGTGTATTACGTCATCGATATGCAAGCGCGTCGTATCTCTACATCACTTTGGTTTTGGTATTCGTTAATCTTATTTTAACTTTAAAAATACTGTATCTTTTAATATTTAATATTTTCTTAAGTACAATAAGAAAAATTATGAATTAATAATAAAACGATTTTATTATTTTTTCTCATTATACGATTTCATTACATTCCGCGATTGTCATTGAGCAATCGAAAAAGGAAGGTTGCCTGTAAAACTGATTTTTGCATTAATGCGTTTATTGTTTTTGAATATTTTGCGTGCGAAAATTACTTGGATTCTAAAAATATCTGGAAATAAGGTAGGTCGATACAGAAACTATTTATCGCACATGTACAGTACTGTATATGAGCTTCAAAACATATATATATATATATATATATATATATATATATAAATGGATGTGTGTGTCCCTATATTTCACTTTTCAGCCAAAACTACACATCGCACATGATTGGTGTTTGTATGTGGTAGTAGCCCCAAGTCTCCATTAGTGCACTATGGTGGTTGCGTCTCAATAGCTATAAGGGTGCGGGAGATATGGGCTTGAAAGTGGTGAAAGTGGAAGATTTTCTATTTCGATTTTAAAAATTTTCGAATTAGAATTTAAATTCGAATTGGTTCGATTATAGAACGATTGTAAACGTTCCAGAAAAATTGATCAAATTGAAAATAGTTCGTTTGACTGGACGTAAAAATTCTCTAATTAGTCTGGAAACGGGGACCTAATTCTTGCATTCTGTGAAAACGGGTAAGATTGGCTATAATGTAATTATCTTAATCTTCACTATCGTTACATTTTGCCCAGCGAAGCAGGTCCTTGCAGCTAGTAAATAAATAAAAATAAATTTTATCAAACTATGAGATCAGCCGATTAATTGTATCGCGTACAAAATTTTATACTCCTAAGGAAAAGTACTGTAGGTCTACGGTTAAATAAATTTCGTTTTCCCACAGTTAAACTTCGTCACTAATTGTTGTGGTAAACCATTTTCACTTTGATAATTTTAACACGATCTAATGACAGCACTTTGCATTTCTTTCGTTTTTTCAGACATTTTCCAACAAACTGAAATGAATTTCCTTTGTTGCTAGACTAATTCATTAACACCTGCATCTAATTTGAAGGGTGGGAGAAGTGCCGAGGTTGATTCGAACGACAGTTTAGACAAATTCATTATATTTATTAGGAAGGGGAAACGTTGTTGAACAATAGTTTAGACCAGATATATTCGCGGAAGTGGTTGCTTATTACAATTGTATGTTGTTTCGGACTAAAAATCGATGCCCGCGGTCGCGTTTCACAGGTGGTCGTTTAATATAGGTAACTTATAGGAAGACTCTATGGATAAACTATTCGGTGCCAGAAATTTTTTCCCGTTTTGACAGGTGCCCGTCGAATGCAGGCGGTCGCCTAAGAAGTTTTCACTGTATATGGTGTCAAGAGCTAATCTTTTGAGGTATTATCAGGGAACTTGAAGGAAATTCCTCTTAAGGGGAAACCAAAGATTATTATGATGCAATTAACTTGAATTTTCTTAATGTTGTTCGGTGACTTGAATTATTTTAATAAGATTGGGTGGAACGGAACCCGACACGCAGCCTCGTGAGTTCTGGTGTTCTTTGATAGATATCATTTGCAAACAAGAGCTGCGTATTCAGTTTTGAACATAAATTTTTCATGAATAAAATTCAATAACAATAATCGATAGAGAGTTTTGGTAAATTAAAATTTGCCAGCTCTGTTTAGATTTTGTGTGTGTGTGTGTGTGTGTGTGTGTGTGTGTGTGTTTTAAAATCCATTTCGACCTGTGGGCATTAAGGCTTATTTTAGTATGACCATTATGGGTTCGGCCAGACCCACAAAGGAGAAGCCGGGTGGTGAGGGTATTCAACATATCTGAACAAACCAAACCCCAAAACTAAGATTTTGCGACCCATTTGGATTCGATTCCGGGTTCGCCAGAACGGCAGGTTGCCACCTTAACTACTCGGCCATCCGGCACGACAGTATTTCTTGTTATTCTTATATTGCAATGTATCACGGACCGGCCACTCGTGAAAAAATTCCTGAAAGTTTTTCGATCACCTGGATTCGATTCTGGGTACAACCAGAGTAAAGATTTTCCCCAAGGCGTGTAGGCTAATGCCATGACTGCATCGGCAATAATCCGTCATTTAAATTTATAGTTATTTGTGGAATTATAAAATTTTGTATTACTGTACTTTTAGTATAAAAATTCATGCTTGAGTCATTACAATATACAAATACAGTAAAATCTTTGTAAACGTAATCGCAAGGTACCGAATTTTTCCGTCTTAAATTAAAGAAGCTTTATGCAACCTTTTCTTTTTTTTTAATGTATGATAAATGTCATAATTACATCCATTTTTACAGTAAACTCACACCACAGCAAACAAGCCAAGTCCAGCCTTAAGGCATGATTTTAGCAATGTTTTTTTTTTTTTTTAAAAAAATAGATTATAAGGGAATAAGGTGCACTAATGGGAATAATAATGTACGCTGTCTACATTTTATGCCAGTAGGATATTCGTTTGGTAAATACAGTATTTATGAACGCAAATACTACGCACGTAATGATAGAATTATTATTATATAGAATATAATATAATAGAATAAATATAATTATATACATGTCACAGCTCAACACGGAAGGCAGAAATACAGTCGACCCCCCTATAACGTGCGTTCCTGTAACGGAAATTCCTATAACGTAACGAAAAAAATTGTAGCAACAATACGTATAAAGGAGCTCCTAAAACGTCGTCGCCGACTCGTTTCGCGACAAGATTGATAGAATCTGGACCAATAGTGGATGAGCAGCCGAACTACTTTCCTCCGCCCTGCGCCATGCTACGGAGCGGCTAAATTGAGTTTGCTATCGTCTGTACAGTATGTAAATTAGGTACCGTAAGTCTAATACAGCACTAATTTTATACATTTCTTGTGAAAGAAACATTTCTTATTCAACGGCCATAAAAATTATTTATATTAATGATGTCTCCAAAGGTCAAGTTATTTTTCTGCGAAAAATTATTTATCAGAAATCGTGGCCGCCGTTTCGTGTGCTGTTCCGCGACGAAGACAAGCTTTGAGCAACGGCGTAGTCGAACGGTGCACACTCGGTAAGTAATCCTATAATTTTTTGTTTATAGCATAGTTTATACAGATTATTCCCAAAAAATTATACATGTTTTGGAAATGCTGAGTGGAATTAGTCTAGAATTGGTTAATTTTATAGAAGAAAACCTTTCAAACAGCCTTAGTCCGCAAACTTCACACCTATCCGGCTGCGATTGGCTCATGTATTTAATCATTCCTACAACGTAAAATTCGATTAACGTGGAACGTATCTAAGCGTTATAGGGGGTCTACTGTAATATGGTACTAAGCAGAGATAATTGGAAACATTACTTCTCCAACCCATGAGTACACGGCAAAGAAAATGGTGACATTTAAGGTGGCAACCAGGACCACTTTTCGATCTCAGGAGCCGGATCAAATTCAAATGAGTCGAAAAACCTCAGTAATTCAGGGGTAGGGGTGGTCCATCCACCTAAATTGAATCCCTTCCCTCACCAACTAACTGCCCCATTGTGGGCCTGGACGAAACCATAATGGCCTTTTTAGCAAGCTCGTTATAGAATCGGCCCACTTTGAAGCTTAATAATTCCTCTACCCTTTGTCGAAAATTTCTAAAATTTTGCAGAAAGGTTTGGGTGTTAGGAGGATTGATGCTATTATTTTGATGGCTAAAGGACGAAGGTTGGGGAGATAGCGAGTGGCAACGTGTTGTATCTTGAGAGGGGTCAAACTTAAGTTTTACTTGTTATTAGCATTTAGGATGTTTTGTAAAACTCATCTGTACCCACAAAATTAAGCGTTTTGCCGTTTCGTAACAGATGGCACCACATACTATTTATTTATTATTAATAATATAAAAGTTATTTTTTAAATAAAATCTCTAAAATTACACAACTCTGCTGGATTTTATTTTGTTTTTATATTTCTCTCTTTCCCTCTGTGGACACTAAGAGGACCTGTTTTAATCACACCCATCGCCAAAGTACCGGGTTGTTAAAAATTAAGTTTCTCTACTTACAGTTAGATGATTCTGCAGCGCGTTCTAAAGCTCTAAACGGAATGAAATTTAAACAGCAGCTACTTCTATCGATGCGCTCGCCGTTTATTGAAAAAAATTAGTATAAACAATTGCCGATAGGTGGTGATGTATCAATGTAGGTCATTTGAATGGTGTTATGATTGTTCAATGTGGACTCCCATTGTTGTCAACAGTTTTTCATTACCAAAGCAGAACTTTTTTATCGCAGAACGCAAGAAGTCTACTAAAATTGCTAGAACGTGACGTCTAATGCCGTCCTTCAACTGTGACATCTTTCACAATACACTTGGTTGTTCAAAAAACACCATAACTGGAAGTCCAGGTGTATCATGAGAATTAAGTGACTATTGTTACAGAGCCATCTGTCGGAAAATTTCTTTTCAAAACATGTCAGCACGTTGTTTGACATATCTGCTGTTTAAATTTCATTCCATTTTGAGCCTTAGAACAAAGTATAGATTCCTCTAAGTGGAGGAACTTAATAACCAGGTAGACTGATTGGTTTTTGTATGTCAAGATGGGCAAATAGCCTGTAACGAAAAGTCAACTCCTCCAGAGGTGTCTAAAAAGAACGAAATCTGAGGGCATTTAAATATATTTTAACTTGTATGACAACATCCATGCTCGCAATAAGTGGATCCTGCCATATAAAATTTCTACCAAATGTAAAAGCATGAAGGTTGTAAAGCAAGTCTTCTATATGTAGAAAATATTCTAATTAAATAATTTCATTTTATGCAAATATTGAAAAAAATATTAGAAAACTTACTGAAGCAAACTGAAGATTTTTATTTTCTATAACCTACCTATACAATCTGTGAACTATTCACTGTTCATATATTTTTTACATTGAATTTTCAATTCAAACTAATCGAATTACATTATTCCATGAAATTACAGTTGATAACCTTTAAACTGGTCAACTTTATGTTCCTCCTTCAATGTGTATCTGTGATATTTTCCTTCGACTGGTATAAAATACCATGATCTATAATCGTCGCGTTCTGCCATCAAACTTTTTACTTTTCTCTCCAATTTCCTACAAGTATATTAAAATTAATAAACATATAAAAATTCGAATTTAAAAATATATATTTTTGAGATATTCTTATAATTTAAAAGATAATTTCAAACTTTTATTAAGATTTTTAAATTATTATCTGTATTCTGATTCTGTATTTTGTAATTAATCTGTATTCTGAAGTGTTATTAATGAATGATAAACTTTCAAAAAATATATTTTCAGAATTTAACAGCTTAAAATTTGAGAAGCATTCAGACTTTCGGGATCCTTAAAAATGTTTTATAAAATTATTTTTACATCTGAAGATAAGTTATCAGAAAATTTCATATCCAAAATCATTGCTTTTATAATGCTTTTTTAAATTTTTAAATAAATTATAGCAATTTTTAAACATGTAATATGGAATTTCTTCTGCATTCAATTCAATTTCAGTCAGTATTTTCTCTTTATCTGGTCATGTTTTGATTTTAAACTCATTTATGTGAACAAGTATGACATCATTTTAAATACAACAGCTTGTCTAATTACTAAGATTGTCACCATACAGCTGTGGTTTACAAATATTGCTTTTATTTTTATTGTGTTTGATCTTAAAAAATTTTTGACAAAACAGATTTGCAAGATGTAAATAGTAGCCTATTTCAAATTTACATAGAATAAATGCTATAAGAATAAATGCAGTATAAAAGTTGTATAAGAATAAATGCAGTATAAATGCAGAATAAATGTTATAAGAATAAATGCAGTATAATAGCTACTGAAAAAACTTTGTACTAGGACATCAAAACGAACATTAATGTCCAATTATCTTGTTCAAGTACTGACTTAAGTTTATTCCAATTTGAAATTTCTAATGCCATTTTTATATTTGTACACAAAATAATTAGTTCATTATGTTTAGTTTTCAACTGATTATTGGGTATTCTTCTTCTTCATCTTTGCCTTTTCCCATGTTTATATGGCATTGGCATTTCCTTCTCTAATACATTTTTCCATTTCTCCCTATCAAGGGTTTCTTCTCTCTTAAGTCTCCTCTGGTTCAAGTCTTCTTCCACCTTATCTTTCCAATGCATCTTTGGTCTTCCTCTTTTTCTCTTTCCTTTTACTACCAGTTTTTCAATCTTCTTTCCAACATAATTGTCACTTCTTCGCTCTATGTGGCCAAACCACCTCAACCTATGTTCTTGCATCTTTCTGTTCAAGGGACCTACCTTAACAGAACCTCTAATAAAATCATTCAAGCTTAGGGACCAGAAACTCTAATTAACTATATAGGAGCTTCTGGTCCATACCAGAATTCATGTGATTTTTTTTAACTTAAAAGATTATTAAAAATAATGTTGCATTATGATGTTACAATAATATATATTTGATTTTTTCTATTTATTATATATATATTTTTTTGTATTAAAAAAAAACATATTTTGCAACAAAATACATTATTATTCATTTTGTAATGTTTATATTTGTCAATAGAAAAAATATTCAATTACCTCCATTTCACTTTTTCACTTTCTTCCCATAAGGCATGCATATTTTTTTCATATATTTGTTGTGGGCTTGCATAGATGTACCTTGCAAAAAATCGTTGAATTGGATGCTAAAAAAATATAGGAAAATTAATTAAAGCCTGTTATAACAATTCAATTAAAAAAAAAACTATTATTGGTAAGATTTTAATACAAATGTATCAAGAATGTAAAAAAAATATTTTTAGAAACTCTTTCCTATTAATATACTAACAAATCAAATTAAACAAAGTAATAATTTAAATGCTAGATAACTAATGTGTTCATAATAAAACAAACATCAGCCATTTACTGGTAATACAGTAGAGTCTCATTTATTCAATGTAATGTGGATCAAGGTTACTTTGCGTAATCAAAAATTTGGATAACAGAATATTTGGTATAAATGATTAATGTTATAGTAATATTCTTGTATTTGGTCAATCATTTTATTAAAATTTGTATTGTCTTGAGAATTCACCAGAGTGAATTCCTTTTTAAAACTTGTAGAAACCCTTTCAAGTACCATATGTCACCCATCTAATTCATAAAATGAGTTATACTATACTACATGTCCTTGTTATCAAAGAACTCTTCCACAATTTACCTTGGTTAATAGTCTCAGACGATCAAGTCTCTATGCTACTAATAATTATATTAATTAATTATTCTAATACTATATTCTAATAAATTAATTAGAAAAGAAAAAAAAAAGAGATCTTAATCTTAAATTGTAATTTTGCTAAAGTATTTCACTATCCGCTGTAATTTTTGTTAAAATTGGCAATTGCAGTTAGCAAGAACAATGCCATTTTTTATATTTTTAAAATAATTTTATTTATTAAGCATACAAAATAATGAAGTAAATGAAACTTAAAAACAAAACTAAAGACACTTTACAAAAATATGATTGATATATATATTTTTAAACTTTTTGCATTGTATATATTGCATTTTATAGTTAACTTTAAGTTAACTATAAAAATATTTTAGGCCTATAAATATATGTTTTATTAAAAATAAAACAATTCTATAGTTGCAGAATAAGAATGGAATTGATATTCATTAGTCTATATACATAGGTAGTTTTTTTTCAATCTCCGATGGTCCATAAAACAAAGACAATTGTATTGATAAATAACATAATAAATTTATCATCAAAAGTTAGGTACAAAGTTAGTACAGGTACATGTTCACTTCTTGACATAATCATCATGAAGATTGAGGCATCTGTTGTGTCTGTGAATGAGCTTTGCAATCCCCTCTTCATAGAATGTTGCTGCCAGTTACTTGAGATGGGTGTTAATGTTATTTTAAAGATCATCATTAATCTCAAACATTTGCCTTCATAGCCACGTTTTCAGTTCAGGAAAGAGGTGGAAGTTGCTTGGCGCTAAATCAGGGCTATATGTTGGTTGTTTAAAAATTTTGCCAAGCTGAGTGGAAGTCTTCACACATTAAAGGTGTGTGAAGACTTCCATCTTTTCCCTAAACAACCTATCGCATACCCAGGGTTGGGAATTGCTGCTCTAGATTGCTCAACATAACTATAGTGAATTTCTTTTTGTGGGGTTATGTAAAAGACATCGTATATCAAATATGTTTTTATAGCATTTCAACATTTTTGCACAAAATTTGAAATTATATGTTATGTTATGTGATAACAAAATGTTATGTGATGTCATGCAACATTATTTTGTTTCCTTTTTAATCTCAAACATCAATTTTGAAGAATTTTCATTGTTTAGCTATGGCAGTGGAGTGATACAGATTCAAGGATCCATCATGTCGATTCTATTCTTATTATAGGAAACGAGTATAGTACAAAAAGATAAGTTTTCTTAGAAAAGTTAGTATCTGAATTTATACTTTAGATTAAAAAAAAATCTAGCATTGAGTTGTGTAACTTTCCCAGCTGTTGTGAGTGTTTATTTAAAAAACTTTTACATTATTAAGTAAAATAATAAAATAGTGTTTGGTGCCACCTGTTATCAGATTTTGTTATAAAAAACTTTCTATATTTTTAATTAATTAATTACTATAAAATGGCAAAATGCTTAATTTTGAGGGTAGGAGTGAGTTTTATAAAAAAAAAACTGTAAATAAATAATGAATGAAATTGTCATTAAGTCCTACCACTCTTGAGATATGACATGTGAGCCCCTCTATCTTCCTGCCCTTTTGGCCTTTCACCATGAAAATTAAATAGCACCAATGCTCCTCATATACAAGTCATCTTGCCAAATTTCATTTCTTAATCTTTACCCCATCCTGAAATATTAAGTGAAATATATGCCAACACATACATCCATGGAATATTTTTGTTGTTTTTTTGACTTTTTTGGATTCGAGAGGTTTCAAAATGTGAAATTTGCAAAATACTCGAAGGGTCCAATTTGACATGATTTCAATACTTTCCCTTGTTACGTATATATAACAGTCGGGAAAATAAAACTGAACCACAACAAGCATTAAATTAGTTTAAATAATTCAGTCATTATTATTATTATGAAGAATCGGAAAAAACACAAAAAATTATTCTTACCACAATAAAATTTTTACTATTCTACATTAAAACATACATAAATTGAAATTACACAGTACCAAATATTTTTTGCTGGCCATTTAAAAAACTCCTTTTATAACATAGATGATCGCTCCATTTGGAAAAATTTTTCCATTTTATTCACTTATGTCTCAAACAGGTTTTACAGTAGTATATTTCATAAAATTTTTAATGTTTAGTTTTAAGGTATTAATAAACTTATTTATATATTTCACTTAACCATATTGCTCTAATACAAGGGTAATCCCAAAAGTAAGGTCTCCTATTTTTTTACAAATACAAAGAAATGTTTATTTTCAATAATGTTTACATCATTTTAAAGCTTGAACATTTATGATTTATCTATTTTTCTACACAATCGTCATTCCGGTTGATGCATTTTTGTACGTGCTGTGGCAGTTTTTGTATGCCCGTCATACCAGCTTGCTGCCAATTAGCAAGACTTGCACATACCTTTCAATATTGTAACTTTTCTATTAAAATCCTATGAATAGTGCTTTGGGACATCCCAGGAATCAAAATGCAGAGATCATCCAGAGTGATCCACTGATCTTCATGCATGGTCTGCTTAACCTTTGTGACTGTCTCATCGGAAATTGATGGTCTCCCATTTCTTTCTTCGTTGTGAATTTCAGTACGACCAGCGCAAACTCCCCACACCACTTGTGGACATCCTCATGCACAATTCACCATACTTTTCCAGAAATTGGCGAGGAATTTCAATCGGTTTAACATGACATGGCGGCAAGATGGCATGACATGGGCACACAAAGACAGCCACTGCACCTACAAAAATGCATTGACCAGAATGGCGGTTATGAAGAAAAATAGATAAACGTTCAAGCTTTAAAATGATGTAAACATTATTGAAAATAAATGTTTCTTTGTATTTCTAAAAAAAATAGGAGGCCTTACTTTTGGGATTACCCTTATATACAGGGTGATTCAAAAAGGACTTTTCAAATTTGAAAAATTTTTAAATATCAATGAACAGCCAGATTCTTTGTTAAATTTAACAAGAGATAGTTGACCAGCAGCCCATCTCCTGCCAAATTACTTAGCTATTTAGGCTTATAGTCCAATAAAGAATTAGACTGTTTATTTGAAATAATTAATTGTATTTACTATAGTCAACCCCCTATAACACGGTAGATACATTCCGGTTTTTATGAATCCATTTTCTATGAGTCCAGCCAATCACAGCCTGGCACGTTTGCAGTTTACGGACTACGGCTGTTTGAAAGGTTTCTTCCATAAAATTAATCGATTCTAGACTAATTCGACTCAACATTTCCAAAATACGTATAATTTTTTTGGGAATAATCCATATAAACTATGCTATAAACAAAAAATTGTAGGATTACTTACTGAGCATGCACCGTTCGACTATGCCATTGCTTAAGCTTGCTTTTGTCGTAGAGCTTATCATCGGATGACGCTTGCGTGCTTCCTGCTAAATTATTTTTTTTTTTGCGAAAAATTTGCTGAACTTTGGAGACATCATTAATATAAATATAATTTTTATGGCCGTTAAATAATAAATGGTTTTCAGTAGGTCCGCTGCTCGTTTAAACTCAATGGTTTGTGCAATATCCGCTATTGGTCTAGATTCGACCAATCCTGTCGCGACACGAGTCGGCAATGATGTTTTACCGAATTATACGAGTTTTTTTTTTATCATGTTTGTACGAATACTGTCACAATTTTTTTGTCATGATATAGGAATCCGAACTATAGGAACCCGTGTTATAAGGGGGTCGACTGTATATATTTAGAATTTTGATCAATAAACTTACAGAATCAGTTGATGTGTTTTGCTATAAATTAATGCCTCAATTGATTCTGTAAAGTCTTTTAATGAAAATTCTATATTCTTTTTAAATTGAATGAAAGATTTTCAATGCAGGGTAATTCAAATAAAGACTTTTTGAATCACCTTGCATTATAAAAATGAATTATACTGACTCTAAAATACTCCCAATGTTTAGGTTCGTATCCTTCTGGAATTTCGGCTAATTCTGCAGGTCCAATAAATACGTTGACGCAAAAGATTAGGATTCCCAAAGGTATAGCACCAAGAAGAAAATAAAAGTGGAGAGAATCTTTGAATTTCTCATATTGAAATTTGGATGGAGATATGTGAAAAATTTTTTTATCAGACATTCTGCAAATCTTATCTGAAAAAAAGGAAGAAAAGAATAATTATCCATAAATAATTATATTTTGAATTATTTTCTAACATTATAAATATAATTATTTAGTTAAATTGTATTATTATTACTATTTTAACTCTCCATCATCTAAGTACTAACAAGTAAGAAGGCTTTATGTTCATTGCTGATTCAGCCAGGTTCACAATGATACAAGCAGGTGATGAATAATGAGGCCTGACACACCTGGTCAAACTATCTGTGAAAATTTCTGAGGTTACAATCCAAACTGAAACCTCAGTCCTTCAGTATGGGCAAGCTGACCAGACAGTTGAGCAGTTAGAGTGGCAGCCTACCACTCTAGGAGTCCCAGGATAAAATTTGAACAGATCAAGAACTCCCAGGAATTTTTTTGGTGAGGGTCCGCCTGGATGTGTTGGCCCTGTTCCTCATCACCTGGCCATCCCCATTGAGGGCCCATCTAAACTCATAATAAACTTGCTAAAAGAAAGTATTGCAGGCTGATATATTTGATGCTTCATCTATTAAATTGTCTGAACAGAATAACATCAATTTAGTATATATTTATATTAAACTGATGATAATACAGTATTAATTAATAAAAGGTGCAATATTTAATCATTACAATATAGTACCTTGTTATTGTAATTTTACTGTTATGTCATTTTATTAAATTTAATTTCTAGAAAATATATCCAAAAAATATGAATATAGTTAATTTAAATTTGATAAAACAAACTATTAAAAAAAATATAAACAGAGCACTGAACACCAAATAAAACTACATTGTTGTGAATTTACAATTAACAGTGAATTAGCGAGTTTTCTTTTTCGTGTTAGGTATGTGTATTGCCATCCACTGGAGTCACTTTATGACTCCAGTCTTTTACATTGAGTCTTTTATTCACTGATGTTTACAAGGTATAGATATGAGAACACAGAATGTATCCAGTGGACTGACCAAGTAGTGAATAGCATGTCTTTCCTTCTGATTCTTCTGTTTTAAGATTTAGTGGATCTGAAGGCCAGCCAATCCAAAGCAAGCCAGCAGCTCTCTTTTGGGTCTGCCCTTGTCACGACACCTGACTAATTCTGTTAATTATGTAAAACAATCTCTGACCTTGCCAATAGAACTGATCCAGTCAAGCAAAAGACCAAATCTTTTTGTCCTTGTCTGAATGTGCTAAGTCTATTAAACAGTTAAACAATTTAGTTTTGTGCAGTTTAGTTTCAAATGTAAATTAGATTGGAATGGTCATCTTCGGGCAGATCAGAATGTATTTAAATATGTTCTTTTCTGTTTGAGAACAACATTTACGCAATGTCGAAAGCATCTGTGTACCTATTTTTTCTCAAATTAAACTAAAGCAATGCCAAAAGACTGTGTTTTTATTACTTGTACAAAAGAAACCATTTCAACTCATCATTAATTTTTTATATTATTATTCCATTTATTGAAATTTGGTTGCAAGTGAATAGATTAAATGTTAGCCTTATGTGAAAAACATAACTTGTTATTTGTCATTGCATTGTAATATATTAACATTTCATTACATATGTTCTTTTTTGGGAGGAAAAAATAAAACCACTATTTACAATCTATTCATGACAGAGAGATAACTCCATTTCTAATAAAAAAAACAGTGATTTGTTAAAGGAAGAAACAATCATAATATAATTTGCATTACTGATCTCAACTTTGTTCATTGTAAGTGAACCTTTTACAGTAAGATCACTGAGTAATGACAAATGAGTCCAGGTAAATTCTAATTCAAACCACTCATAGCAGCCATAATACATTTCTGCCATTGCAATATACGTGCCTTGTATTTACAATATAATATACCTTGTTAAGAGTATAGGTCATGAGTATACATTTTAAAACACATTTAGTGAGGGGTTTGGTTTCTGTCTGAAGCCTCACAATAATGTATATTTTTACAAAATATATTTTTGTAAAAATTATTTATTTATATTGTATAATAATATATTTAAAAACATATTATTGTGACAAAAATATATGATGTCACAAAAATAAAATGACATCATATATTTTGTAAAAACAATAAAACTATAAATTCTCTTACACAATATATACCATGGGTGGGCAAACTTTATCATGATAGGAGTTATATATCACTTATCAGGTGAGAGCAAACTTACAAAATTATTACATATGTACAAGTTGTATGTACTAACCTTAAAAAAGAAATTGTATGAGTACAACAGAGCCACAGTAAGAGTCTAGAAGAGCTGCAGGCTGCTTGCAAGCTGAAGTTTGACTACCTTGTGTATATACAGTGGCAAACCTAAGTATTGTATGGCTAGTTAATTATAATATACCTGCTTTCAAATCCAAACTATTGATAGCAAGACCAAATTTTTAAAAATTACATTATTATTTGATTTCTTTTCATTCATATAAATACAAAATTTATTTAAAAGTAAAAGAAAATATCAAAGTATCATGTATAGCTACAGGTTTGTTGAATAATATTGTTGCACACAAATTAATTTTAACAGTAAAAAAAATTAATACAGTGAAATGCCAATTATCCTATCTTCCAACTTTGTTAAAAATAAATGGGCATGTATGTAGTATAATGTATATGTATGAAAAGTAATTTTTTTCTAAATATAAGAAATACTAACAAGTAAGAAGGCTTTATGTTCATTGCTGNAATTTATTTAAAAGTAAAAGAAAATATCAAAGTATCATGTATAGCTACAGGTTTGTTGAATAATATTGTTGCACACAAATTAATTTTAACAGTAAAAAAAATTAATACAGTGAAATGCCAATTATCCTATCTTCCAACTTTGTTAAAAATAAATGGGCATTGTAGTATAATGTATATGTATGAAAAGTAATTTTTTTCTAAATATAAGAAATAATAAGTTCATTTGTAGGCAATTTCCACATTTAATATTTATTTGCACATAATTTTGTATACACATACATAATGGAGTGTTTGGATATGAAAAAAATAGCTAGTTCAAACAAAAATCTAATTATCTAGATGGCTTGAGGTCTGAATTAATTGAAATAATCAAAGTTTTACTATTTGCTAGAAATTATTTCTTCTTAACCTGTTTGGCATTGAATCTTTTTGTAGTTTCTAGTGGTATATTAATCCAGTCATCAAAATTATGTTTGAATTCAGTTTCAGAGATGTGATGATGTCTAATTTTGTTTTTCTAATATAGCCCAAAGTTTGTTCTACTAGGTTAAGGTTTTGAGACTGCAGGGAAATACAGTATGAACGTATTACAAATAATCCATTGATGAACAATATAAACAGCATGCTTTGGATTGTTGACTGTTAGAAGTAGATGCCTTATCTAAGATTTAATTTATCCATACATTTTTAAGATTTTCTTTTAAAATATTTAAATAAATTGTTTTTATCTACAAATATGAACTCTTCAATATCAAAAACAGTGAAACAAACCTGTAGTGTGGCTCCACCACCTTTGTATTTCACAGTTGACTTAAAGATGCTTAAATCTAACTCATTATGAGGTTTCATCATACTTTAATCAATTATCAGAACAAAGTTAAATTGACTTTCACCTGAGAATAATACTTTGTCCCAAAAAGCATTTTGTTTATGTAAATAGGTTTTAGCAAATTGTATTTGGTTACTCTGGTATTGCTGACAAATGATTTCGAAACCTAGCCACTCTAGAATTATACCCTGTATCTGAAATCACTGTGTATTTTTATTGGGTGTACTTCAATGTTAGATTCTTTGTTTAATTGAGCAGAATTTTCTGAATATATAATTTTAAGATTTTTTTTACAGTTCATATAATACGAGGGTCATTCAGAAAGTAACGACCATTCAGTTTTAATAAATGAAAGAAATATATTTTATTAACAAAAACATGTCACTTACAAAATTCAAGCTTACTTTATTTCTCTACATAATCACCATCATTATTTAAGCATTTGTCATATCTGTCCACAAGCTTTAAATTCCCGTGTCGTAGTAGGCTGCTGCCAGTCCATTAAGCCAGTTGTTTACTGCATTTTTCACCTCATCATCACTTCCAAAACATTTCCCGCCCAGGAACTCTGAGCTTCGTGAAAAGGCCAAAATTGCAAAGAGCAAGGTCAGGACTGTAGGGTGGATAATCAAAAATTTCCCATCCAAATTGATCCAGCACGCCTATGGTTGCAGCAGCAGTGTGAGAGTGGACATTGTCGTAAAAAAGCACAATACCATGAAAAAGCATTCCATGCCTATGATTTTGGATTGCTTACCATAGTTTTCATAGGGTGTCACAATATCGATCTGCATTGATCATAGTGCCTATTGGCATGAAATCCACCAAGAGAACAAACGATCCCTTACGATCCCAAAAAACCGTCGCCACGAGTTTTTGTGCTGACAAAGTTTGTTTGAATTTTTGGGGTGATGAGGGATGATGCCACTTGAATGATTGGCGCTTGGTCTCTGGGGTGAAGTGAGACACCCATGTCTCATTGTTAGTAACAATTTGATCAAGAAAGGCATTTTCATCTGCGTGATACCGCGTCAAAAATGTCAGTGCTACACCCATTCTCTGTGTTCTGTGCTGATCAGTCAGTTGCCAAGGAACCCATCGTGCACAAATTTTGCTATAGCCAAGATGTTCAGAGACAATTTCATCAAGCAAAGAACGAGAAATGTTAGGGAAAGAAACGTGTAACTCGTCCAAGGTTACGACTGTCTTGCATGATTTTGTTCTTCACTTGATTCTTCAAATCATCTGTGATGAGTGACAGATGTCTAGGTCGAGTTTTGTCATGCACATCTGTTTGTCCATTGTTAACCACTCGACAATCAATCAATCAATCAATCAATTTATTTACGGAAGCATAAATACATACCTTGGCTCCGCTATGAGCACTACCAAGGAAATAAAATACAGGAAATGTAAACAAACAACAGTATGTACATTGTAGATTCCATGCAGAACTTTAAGTTAATAAATAAAATCCATAGAATTATAATTAAATAAAATTAAATTATACTATACTTTAGTAAAACAAAATATTTGCGCGACATTAAATCCACAAAATTACTAGTAGAAGAAAATGAATACAGAAAAACATAAGCGAACAGCAGTGAGTACATTGTAGATTCCATGCAGAACTACAAAATAGTGGGCAAGATCTTTAAATTACATACAGAATAAAATAAATACAGAGTGAGGGACCATTCGACAAAACCACTCGACAGTGAAGGATGGATATATCCATCCAGGGCAATTGTGTGGCAGTGGTGAGGGACGAATATATCCGTTAAATTCTTTTGGGAGTATCGTCAAAAACTACTGTGAAAAAAAAATTCACATAAAAAATGAATTAGGTAACAATAAAAAAAGACTTTTCTTTACTATTCATAACTGTTTATAAAATCTTTTTCCGAAATGGTAATGAGAAAAAAATGCGTGGAAAAATACTTTAAAAATTTCCCATGTTTATTCTCCACTACTTAGGGATAGTACCATATCTGACTATCCCACTGTTGAAAGGTTAAACATTTCACACCGCTTTCTCACATTTCTTTCGTTCATACACTTCCTTTAGTTGACGGTAAATTTCTGCAAGTTTCAACTTCCGAGCATTCAAAAATCGAATAACTCACAGTCGGTGGGACTTTGTATCACACTGTTCATTGCTGACAATCACAGAATGCACAATAACAACTTGTTTCGACTATAACTCACACAACACTGAGAAAAGACGTCGAGGAAACTATTTGACCTTAGATAGTAGCCCTAGATCAAACTGAGCATCCGGAATGAGCAATAGGTCGTTACTTTCTGGATGACCCTTGTAACACAAACTGTGAAAAAAATTCTTCTCATTTTTAGCTTAAAATCTGCACAGTAAACTAGCTTTTTTTTTTTAATCACTGTAGCTATTTCAGAATAAGATTTTATTTCTTCAGATAAATACATTATTATTTTTCTCTCAGTAACTTGTTTCTTGCCCTTTGTATCTCATTTCCAAGAATAGTGTTGTATTAAATTACTAAATATATTTTGTATTAGGTAATTTTGTAAATGTCACTATATATCCTGAATTCTTATTAAAAGACAGCAAATTTAAACTTTTCTATAGTGTGCCAATAATTTTGTTCACATGAAAAACTATTAACAGGCAATTTTTTGTTAATTTTAATTTTTTTATTGACAGTTTTTAAAACAAAATTTCCTGCAAATGTTTATTGTAGACAAGTAAAATAAAGTGGAAATATTCAAATCTTTTATAACATTTCATATTTTATTTATAATTAACTTGACTTGGAAATTTATGATGTTCCAATACTTATGTTTGCCACTGTATATACTCTTAAGCTAGGTTTCTACATGTAATGATTATTGACACCAGTTGATTGGCATCAGTCAAATGATATCACTTAAATTTGTGGAAACAAATTTATGATACCATTTGACTGATGTCAATAATCATTGCTCCCATAAAAGTATGTAGTTGTACTTTTTGGTGCCATTAAATTGCTATGCTCCCAGTGCGAATAATTATTACATACGGAAACCTAGCTTTATACACAGATACTGTGTTTTCTCAATTCTAATAAACACCTTTTTTGGACTTTTTCGGTCTCAAAGATTGTGTGCGCATTAGAATCGGGTACAAAGTCAACTCAACACAGCCTCATTTGCATCGTCCTTTCTTTGCTCTGCTTGGCAATTCACAGACATTACACCACCAATGTAGACACAGTACACATCCCTCCCACTACTTTGTTTTAATTTCAGAACAGTTTGGCAGTGTTTGAACTATAGCATGTCAGGCAAACAATGTCTGGCAGAAGAATCTCTTATAAACTTGCATTTAAGCAGAGAGTTATCCACTATGCCAAAGAACATATTTAAGTATTACACTAAATACCTGGTAACTTTTATGCTTTTGCATATCGTCAAGCTTCCCTACCAATAATAAAATCTTAAGTGAATAAATTGGAAAAATGTGGACATCATGAAACACCGTAAACATAAAAACAAAACAATTTTCAAAAAATGCATTTATCAGTGTTTACATCATTTACTTTGTGAGGCCATGTTTTTGATACACGACATTTGCAAACTAACCGTTTTTGTGTTTTGACGTCTCGAATATCGGGTGTGCATTCGAGAATACATGGTATGTATTTTTTATGTGAGGTCTTCTGATGATAATGATAATGGATGAACTATTTCTTAATGTATGTTGATAATGTCATTCATATCTTCTATGGTGTATTTTTGATGATGATGGTGATGATGATGATCATCATCAAAATAGAAGATATGAATGAATAAAAAACATGAATAACGAGTGAACGTATTTCTTTGCTTTATGAACTGTTCTTGTTATATAGGACTGAATGATGATCATCATCCACTAAGAAAATACTGTATTTTCCTTCAAGAATATAGCAAGGTTAATTAGGTTATTAAGGTTAACGTTTAATAGTTTCTAGCATCTTTTAAGTTATATTTATGGTTAGATTTGTGTAATATTTTAGTAATATAAATCAGAAATTTCATACCTGTATGAATATTTCTGAATAGGACCGAATTTAGTAACTTTAAGGGTTGTTTTAACCCATAATTTCTACACATTACACTTAACACCGCCATTTTGTTGTTTATAAATTTCACTAATGAGTGTTGCCAGCTGATTAAGTAGTGAAATTATTATTATGCAGAAATTATAAAATAATAATACTTTAAATAATTAAAATTTAATAAATCGTAATTGTACGAAATTTCTTTAAACATAAATTATTATTTCACGCTTTTCCAAGATGAGTTTGTAAGGAGTCACCAAAGTGGGAATCCAACATGGATCTTCCTGTTGGAAGATTGATTGTCGATGTGCCGACAATTGTAATCTATGATTGATCTAAAGAGAGTCACGTGATAAAAGGGCCCAGGGGGTTTCTGGTTAAACGATAGTTAAAAGCTATTGCTGCTTCTTTACAGATTTAATTAACATTATTTCGTGTATTACTTATTTAAGTATGCCCTCTTGTTGTCGCGCTTTTAAATGTTTCTAATCGTGCATCAGTTACGTTAAAATTATTAGCAATTCCATTGGGGAAAAGTAACCGTGAAAGAAGAACTATATGCCTTCAAAAAATATTGAGAGAGAATTTCATACCAATAAACCATTCTAGGTAATTTGAGGTTAGTGTAGATAATTTTAACGTGGCGTATTTTAGGGCATTCAAGACGCACCAACGGCGCCCACTATGAAAAAGGGGACACAAACTATAAAAAGAACATCATACATTTTGCAAGGAGCTTCAAACCTTCTTCTATGGTTCAACGTCGGAGCGGGGCTAACTTGGCTCGAAAACAAGGAATGGCGTTTTGGTCAACATACGACGAAGTTGCATAGGTCAATGGACAAATATCGTTCATTAGTTTCTTTTATATTTGCAGAACAGGCCAGAAGTCAAGAATTTTCTGTTGTTTGGGATCCTCTTGGAGATTAGAAAAGGGCAACTGAGACGAAAAGGAGACGTACACTGAGCCGCGTGCCCCAATGTACGGGCGTCCCTGAGACGCACCTCCATTTTAGTATTGAATATTTAGTCATTCGTTTGTCCGTGTTGATTAGATTACTTGAACGGCCTGAGTTGTGCCATGTACGGAACGAGAAAAGGGCACAGGCTATAAAAAGGGTATCATACATTATGCAAGAAGCTTCAAACTTTATGATTTAACGTCGGATCGGCACTCCCATAATGAACGCTCCAACATCTAACTAACGTTGGTTGCACTCGGGGCTAACTTGGCCCTGTAATGAAGGAAAGTGGTCAACACACTACGAACAAATAACTTCATAAAAATAGTTGCACGAGACAATGGATAAACATCGTTTCTTTTATATTTGCAGATTAGTTATTAAGTTATAAATCATTCTAATGTATGAGAGCTCCGGACCGAGTGTCTTTCGAGTGCTTTTGTGTCTTACTATTGAAGATTATACTTTCTTTCCTTGTATCAGAAATGGATACTTCATGCTTTAGGAAGAAATGTTTAGCATTTTTAATTAAGCTACAAGGAAACAATTGACTTCGGTTTTATTTGCAATTTATGATATCTTACAATTGATAAGACTTTTTTTACTCTTTCTGCCCTGTGGGCACAAAGAGACCTTTTTAATCATACCCATCCTATAATAGAGTGGCGGTCGAGTGATGAGAAACTTGGCCATACTTATCCAGAATAGATTGCTCGTGAAAAATTCCTGGGATTGCTCACCCGGATTTGATCTTGGATCCCAGAGCAGTAGACTGTATTCTTATCAGGAGCTCGGTCATCCGGCTGGAGCTGATAAAAATTCATTCGTCTCATTCATTAATGAGAAACCATTCATTCATTCTCGCGTAAATAAAATAAAATTGTTTATTTTCTGTATAAATAATTACATTTTGAGCTGTAATAAATATTTGCACAGAAATTAATTACAATTTAAAAAATTAATTTCATTTAAAAATAAATGATGCATGACTTTTTGTAATGCTTTAAAAGTACGTGTAAATGTTAAGAAAATCCTCTTAGGTCTGGTTTTCATCATTTATCATGTTATATTATGGATCTGTTCATTTGGTGGGGGAAGTGCATACTTCTACGTCAATTTGACGTCATTACTTCAACTTAATCATTGTAAAACTATAATGATGACATCAAATTGACGTAAAGTATACACTATCTTAACTAAATGAATGGACCTTATGTTGGCTAATTATCAAAACTTTTCAACATTGTAATTCATTTATTTAATCTTAATCAACAACTAGAGTTTTATGCGCCTGAAGTAACCTATTGCTATCCATATGCCAACTGGATGGCCAAGGGGTTAAGGCGTTAACCTACTGCTCTGGGGACTCGGGTTCGAATTCGGTAGATGTAAAAAAACCTATCAAAACAGGCGTTCCAGGAATTTTCCTGGAATGCCTGTCCCGAATATGTCGGCCTGCCTCTTCCCACTCGGCCTGGCAAATTTATAATTGGTTTCCTTAAAAGGCCTTCTAGTGCCACAGGGCAGAGAGAATTTTTTTTAAAAGAAAAGAATCTCTATTTTGGTGTTAGGCAGGTGATGAAAACCTGGAAAATTTCACTTGACTAGGCCGTTGGTTAGGCGCCAAACCGCAACCAAGTGCGAAGTTGTAAATGCATCAATTTGTTGACCGAATCTCGATCAGTACAATTACAGATTTTCATGGGAACATTTCTCAAGCATTATCTTGCCATCTGCCATAGGCCCGGGAGAATTCATAATGGTGTAGTAAAATACCCTCTTCCTGTTTGCAAGAAGGAAAGAATTACATCATGTTTAATGATGTCTTTCTTCACTTCAAGAAAGCAAAATGTAAGGAGCAACACTTTTGTTTTGTATTTTTTAAATGTAAATTCCCTCAAAAATAATGCTTTTTATTCGCAACTTTCTTATAAACAAAGTTACAATTTAGAAATAAATAATCGCAGCTTATTTGGCAAGTAATTTTAGTTGTAAACAATTATTTTGTTTACGTAATTCTATAATTATATCTAATGTAATTTTAATATTTCGATATAGCATGGTTTCATTTGATAAATAATTAATAAATTTTTATGTTTGCAAAAGTTTATCTTTACAAATAGAAGAATCCGAGATGTATTCCTTAGATAAGATATAATTAATTCGGCAATCGTACCTAGATATTATATATCTTTCACCAATATCCTACTTTATGTAATTTTGATACGAGCTAATTGATAGCTAAAATGGAATTATCAGACAATATTCAGACGAAATTGATAGTACACAAGTACTGTAAGAATTGTAATTATTAACATAGATTATAAAACATATTTTAACGTTAAAGCATGAAGTAAATTTTTAGGAATAATCCCTAAATCGAAAGAAAATAGGTCAGGTGATTTGGTTTGATAGGATACGGCAAAGCAACACATCAGCAGATCTCTCGTGTCAAGCATATCAATCAAGAGGCGATGCCACTCGAGATGACTTTCTACGGGAAACTGGCCCATATTTAAATTATAAATCCTGGAAAATTCCACTGGCCACTTTGTTATTTATACGCGATATGGGAAACTGGCCCTTTTGCGTGTTACAAATGTAAATAAAACTTGAAAAATTCCACTGATCATTCTGTCGGTCATTCGCATTATGGGAAATTGGCCTTATTTAGGTGTTGCAGATATAAAGAAACCCGGAAAATTCCACTGATCAGCCTGTTGGTCGGGCGCGAACCCGCTATCAAGTACAGTGTTCAGTGGTTTTTTTACCACTAAACACTTGTTAGATAAAGTCAAAACCGTTTTTTTTTTTGGTTGTAAATAAATAAAATCTATATATATAAAAATTACTTGTCCCGACTGACTGACTGGTTCATTATCGCCCAGAGCAAACCGCTGAACCTACAGAGGTGAAATTTGGTACACAGTTAGGGTACGTCATGAAATCGTTCACTAAGAAGGGATTTTTCGAAATTCCCCCGCGGGGGGAGAGGGGAGCATTAAGGCTTAACCGGAACAACGGCTTCTACTGTACTATTTTACGTGCGGTTTTTTGTTACGTTTAGTCTTCATTAAGTACTTAAGTGTATTAAATTAATAACATTTCAGACATTGTTATAAATATTTTTATATATTTCAATTTTTTAATCAAATGTTCGAACCTTTTTAAATTCGAATTTGTCATTGCGTATCGGTTCGATTATAGAACGATTGTAAACGTTCCAGAAAATTGATCAAATTGAAAATACAGTAGTTTGTTTGATTCTCAGCAATTCTCGTCATTCTCGGCGGTAGGTGTTATATAACAATTACTACGGTTGTTGAAATACTGAACATAAATGGGGTTTGCTTGCAAAACCTTCGCGGGCAACAGCTAGTTAACATATAATTTTATGTTTTCTGAAGATAATTCAAAAATTAAACCAATTTATAACAATAAATTTAGGCCTATTCAGTGTTTTCTTAACGTTAATGAACTAATAAGTTAATCTTTAGATAAGGAAAGATGATAAAAAGTCGATTGTATTTACAAAATAAGAACGTAATTACAGAACAAAATTTAAAATATTCGAAAATAAATCACGTTACAAATTTATATACAAGAATTACTATCTTAATTTAGATTTTTTTTAAAAAAATGCAATTTGAGAAATATAAATTTTACGAAATCCTTTCATCATTTTGACGTTTTTCTCTCATCCTAGCAACAACTAAACACAGGAAAACACAATTATAGTGATAAACAGCAGCGATATAAATGCTTATCACGCTTCACTTCTGACAAGAGGGGTGTGAGTGGCACACGTGCACTATTAAATTCTTTCATGTCTTCAATTCGATACGTCAACATGACAAATCTTCGTTATTGCATAATCAAGGTAATAATTAATTCTTTTAGTTTATTCATTCATAAAATTTATACATTTAACGTGCTGATTTTTAAACTTAGAAGCTGTTTATTATCTTTATATCGACACTCGTCGTTCATATTCACACGACAAACTGTAAGTATCGTTGTTTTTCTAGTGTAAAAATTTATCAAATTTTCTTAAAATATAAACCCTAAATATACCTTATTTAAGGTCTAGTTGCTAAATTATCGTGCAAGGAAAACGAAGTAGAGCCATTTATTAAAAGATTGGTTCATAATGCAACCGTACAACTTCCAAATCCTCTTCCACTTCAAGATTATACGAATTTCATCCAGTTAAATGATGGTAATGCCTGGGGCCTTTCGACTTTAACACCCCAAAATAGCTGCTCCATAATCTGTAAAGATAGAGAAGTTATTATAGCGGCCCATTTGAAAGTCGAAGAATTGAAAGGAAGTTATAAATGGCAGAGAAGAATGATGACAAGGAAATTAGACGGAACGGTTAATTTTAAAGCAGACGAATTCATGGTTTTCATCGAAATTAAGCAATTAAGGCAAGAACATTTACTACCGGAATTGGCATCGTGTACGGTGACTAAAATGAGGAACGTTGAAGTATATTTAACTGGTGAAAATTTCATAACTTGGCCAAAGGAAAAAATAACAGGCCCTGCCATAAATGCCTTCAAGCAAACCGTTCACGATACCATCAAGCATACTTTCAGTGAAGCTCTACGTAATCAATTAAGTGGTGTCGTCTTCTCTCTTCAGAATTAAATAAGACATTTTGATTAATTTGACTTTAAATTTCTTATATATATATATTGTACAAAAATATATGTAGACATAAGACTGTATTTTCGTTTAAATCGGTTAAAAATACAATTGTTGACGCTTGGAATACATAATTTTTTGTAAGTAACGAAGAGTTTGTTTATGTATTCTAATTATTAAATATTAGAATCTCTTTATGAAATAATTTCTAGAGAAATTTTTGTCTTTATTTTTTCTGTTTTTACTGTCATAAAATATTTCTACAACTGTGTCATATCTCGAGTCTGATGGATTATAAATGCCAATTTCGTATCAATTACAGTTTCAATAAAAATGTAACCGTTATTAAATGTTGTAATTGTAATTTAGACATACGCATCTATTAATACATACACTACACACGAAAACAGTCTTTTTTTAAATGTATAAATCGTCAGCCATTTTTTAAAAGAAATTGATGCAAATTTACTATAGAATTACAAGGAATTCCGACCTAAATTTTGAATGTATTAAAGATATTTTTTTTTAATAAAAAGAGAATATTTATCTGATTTTTAAAAAATCCAGCAATGAGTTGCTTAACTTTCCCGTAAAATTTAAAATTTTGGTGGCGCCATCTGTTATGATATTTTATTTTAAAAAACTTTTTATATTTTTAACTATTATAAAATGGCAAAATGTTTAATTTTGAGGATTTTTATGGGTTTTATAAAACACGTAAATGCTAATAACGAGTAAAATCGTCATTAAGTCCGACCCTACTGGAGACACACGCGATCCCCGTTATCTCACCATTCCCTCGACCTTTAATCACTAAAATTTACTAGTACCGATCCTTCGAATATACAAATCTCCCTGCAAACTTTCAGAAATTTTCGCCACAAGGCACGGGAGTAATTAAACTTCGAAGTGGGTAAATAAAAACGTGTCCCCCCACGTACTAACATCTATACATGCAGAAAAAAACTTTTCAATTATACTAGGATATAAAATTTATGTAAAAATTATATTAATCTTTACCCCATCTTTAAATATTAGGCATCAATACAAACAAACACAAGAACACATCCACGGAATTTTTTCCCTTTATTTATGTCATTTATTCAATTTATTATATAAGATTTGAATTTAGTATTACAGCATAAATTTCGTACGCCACACTCAGAATTTGATATAATCATGTTGTGGCCCTACGTTATAAAATACAAGAGGCCCTACTGGATAATACGTATTAGTAAGGAAGATGGTGCAAGGCTCTAAGCTGCAGCTTATTTGTAAATCATGCCTTGCACTAAAGAATTTAACAGATATTAAATGGAATACATAATAATAATAATAAAATAATCGTTAGGAAGGAGGTAAGGATAATTTCAAGCCAAAGGAAAATTCGTACGTCGAATTTCTATAGCGAATGCTTCTTTAAAAGGCCCTTCGATTATAACACTCGCGGTTCGACGAAAGTTGTTTATCACCGAATTTGTCAATCGAGATAAGGCCCATGTTACATAAGTCATTCCCGTAACTTCAACCTTAATGCCGCTCATGTCTTTGATTTTAAAATAATACAGATAAGTTCCGGTATTATTTTGTATTATCCCAAACTGGATATCAATTTTATCCACTCGAAGAAATGCTTTCCCTTTCCATGTATTAAAAAGGGATTTTCTGCGCCAAGTATATATGGCTTTCACGTCTTCGAAGCGTAACAAAGCTTGAACAGCTATGGAAAAATTAGTACAAGTGACTTCGGCATCGCCAATTCTTTGTGCATTCGAAAGGTCCCACATTCTTCCATTTGTTAATGTGAAGAATCCATATTTAGAAGGTAGATTAATTTCTCCCGAAGAATTCTTTACTATATTTTCGATCAAATTGTCTATGTAATCGTTAGGATTACCCAAATTAGAGCATATATCGTTGTTTTCAGCACTCGAGCTCAAAGGTTTGGTAAGATTGAAGTCTTGATCTTCGTTATTGATGAATTTCTCATCTGTTACGTTAGCGTGGACTAAATCTGTGGAATTCTCATCTTGAAGAATTGAAATTTCGGTTATTTCAATGGAGTTTGAAGTATTATTACTTTCCAAATTTGTTGCATTACTTGATTGTGTTGTTACGGTTGTATTATTTTCTGATTTTTCTTCGTCGTGAGTCGAACTGTTGTTGATGCTTGCCAAGCCATCATCTGCATTAGTGCTGTTATTGTCAGCTAAAAAAAATAATACTTAAAAACTTAAATTAAATTTTTATAATTTTATACAATAATTAGTTAATCAATTTACTCACTCGTAGTCACATTTGATGCCAAATCTTCGGCTTGTATCATACAAGGTATAATTATAATAAAACATATCGCAATCCAACGTAAATAAATCATGTCGATTCTCTTTGAAACTTCTGAAAAAATTTGAAATTGTTGTTAAAAGTTATAATCGGAAAAATTTATTAAAGTAATGCGACACAGGGGCGATTTGCCAAGGGGGTTGCCTTCCGGTAGGACTTTCTATGGAAAATTGGACCTTATTTAGGCGAATAAAACCCATAAAACTTCACGTGGCCGGTCCGAACCCACGACCAACTACTAGTGTTCATTGATTTTATTCAGTCGGCCCCTGTGAGCTAGAAATACGTAATTAAATATATTTAAACCAAATAAACCAAATCGAGTGGATAAAACCTCTGAACACTGGTAATCCCGGGTTCGCGTCCTACTAGCGGGCGGTCTCGTGGATTTTTTCGCGTGTGTAACAGTTAAAGAACGGCCAGATTCCCATTGAATTACCCACGTGAATTTTTCTGAGTTCTCTTGACATGTCTAATACATAAAAAGGAGCCAGATTCGCTTTTGTATTGAGTTGCAGTGCTCCATCTATCCTATCCTATCCTAAAGTATTAATTAACTATTACGATATTATTATCTTTTAAACAATACTACTAATTTACTCATATAATATCATTCGTCTTTCTTAATATGTAAACATTATATTGCATGATACTCAACTAACTAATGGATATAAAGTTAAATTCAATTGCAAATTCTTCATTTACGTATATATTTTAATCAAAATACACGATTAATTTTTAATAAGACATTTAACTTTATATAAATTATCATTTTTCTTTGAATTTTCTTTCATATAATACCAATTTAAGTCGAATTCCTTAGTTCACTGTACGCAATTTCATTTGCATTATCATATTTTAAGTTGTAAATAATGACAAAAATCTACATTTTAATGTAATCGTTATGCTTTAATTTGTTAAGTAACAATTTTTTTCTTAACATTTCAATGGTTAAAAATAGAATAATTTATTAAAAAACGGATTTTATCATAGAAGATCGACAATTATTAGATAAATTAATAAATTATTTGGTTTTTTCAGGTTAATAATAGTTAATAATACTCACGTTTCGTCCAGGAGACGTAAGAAAATAACTTTTCATGTTACAGTCTAAAGACCAATCAGTTTTCTATATAAAATTAAAAAAATTAAATTAGGAAATTGCAATTTATCTGCAACCGACTTGCATCCGTACCAGAAGTGTTTTCTTATCATATCATATTTCCTACAGATCTTCCTCCTGGGTTAAGAAAACTTCCAAAATTAATCGAAATGCACTTTATAAATTTACCTTTTTAATGATTTTCTAAAAATAAATCTTTTATTTTTTGTTTGTGGTAATGATAATGCTAATACACTAATCAATAAGCCAACTTTTAGTAGTACAGTACTACAAATGGCGACTTTTATACGAAACAATTACTATAAGTAATATTCCGACTGGTTCAGCAGGGTTTTATTTATGTCCCCAATTCCCTAATCTCTTAATTATTTAATAGAAATAAGTTGAAACCGGTTACTTTGTACTCGAATATTTGTAGCCTCGGGAAAGAAGTGGAAAGACAAATTTTTATGACAACGGATACATAAATCGTAAATTTAAGGAAAATAAATTCTAGAGCTTTTTCTGTACCTCGTGCATCTCCCTTATTCATTAAATTTAGTTGTAAATGATGCTGCCAAAGTAACAGTTAATTTTTTAACATTGTACAAGAATTGTACACGTTTTTTTCTACATCCCCTTAAAGATGGGACATACGAATGGGACATATTTTAAACTCCTGTCAACTATACAGAACTATCATAAAAACGTACCAGTTAATTATTATCGTTTGGGTTAAGTTATAAATCTACTCGCGATTCGCGTAATCGGGCGAGGGCGGCCAAATATCTAGCGGGCAGGCGACTAACAGCCCAGAACTGGTCCTCGATAGAATCAATGGAAGCGTTATACGTGTGTAGCTTCCACCAACTAAACCGCGTAAGGTTGGTGCTCTGTAAAGCGCATGCACGAATCTGGCTTTTTGGAAGCTGACAATACAGCGCTTCCATTCCACCACTGATATTGGTATATACAACAGCGATCTTATCGTTTTTTTTTTTTACATGTAGTATAGAAATTTATAATAAAGATACATAATGCGGTTATAATAAAATATTAATTTTAATTACATGAAAATAATCGCGCAATATATATTTATTTTTTAGAAAATCCAATGACGGCACGCTACTGGACTAGGCATTAAAAAAATGAAAGTAAAGGATAAGTTGCGTGCTTGCGGGCTGGCCTCGGGGAGTTTTCCGACTTTTCTCCACTTCCGTAACGCCCGAATAGTGCCAGTTGCCTTAATTAAAAGACTTTCTGGGAGGCATTTTCCCTGTTTCCCGCGTACGGCCAAGCAATAAAGCTTTCGGTGGGCTCATGAGATACCAACATCTCTGCTTTATCGGAGAAATAAAGCCGCACGGGCCGATCCTCCACACGAACCGTGCGAATAGAAAAGTTGCGTGCTTCATAGTAATAGGTTTGGTAATCATGCGATATTTAGGACTGTCGGTAATAGTGCTGGGCAATTAATCAATCGCAATCGATTACCTCATAATCGAATAGAAACACTAATCGATTAAACAAATTTCTCCCGCCGGTCAGAGCTCAGGAGTGGACTGAGAGATCGAGTCACGAGAGTGCGAGAAGAAGAAGATGAAGAAGAGGTTAGGCGCGCGGGGAACTATAGTTCCCCCGCCATGCTTAAACGCGTGTATTTTTTTGAATGTTTTTAATGTTGAAAAATGATGCCCTCAGTACCTTCCTTCGATGTACTGAAGATCGCACTAAAAAAATTTTAAATTTCTACGAAAAAAAAATTTTGACACAAAGCCACACCGAAATGCAAGAGTAACATATGTACCGCGCGCGCTTAACGGAGTAAGTTTTATTAGCGTGACTAACAAAGGTGGGCGGATCTGAGTTACAGTTCTAAAAAAACGCTGATTGGTTGATATCGAGTCAGTCATGATAGAAATGACCAATTAGAGCATAAAAGGCGTAAAAACAAGATTTTCAAAGCCAATAAACGGCATAAAAGTTTCCCATAGACTTAGCATTGAAAGTTTGAAAGGTGGAGTTTCTTGGGAATATTTATTGCTAAATGGGGTTGAAAACATGATAAGTAGCTTGACAGTATTTAGACGAATAAACATTCGTCTAAATACTGTCAAGCGACTTATCGTTAGCAAATTAGAAGTGAAAAAAAACGATTAAAACACGCGATTTTATAGAGCTTGTTTACATACTTCGATGTGGTAGCCTGCGGGGGCGTGGCATTTCCGGAGAATTTTTCCAGCAATTGTTTTTATAGGTGGATCTAATAACAGACATATAAATTAACCAATTACAGTGTAAAAGAAGTTTACTATCGATGTTATTTGCCAATAATCTCCATTTTTACCTCTAGTTGAGGTAGAATTTTAGATGGTGTATCTTTGGAAATACAAGTAGAGCATCGATTATCCGACCCCCGATTAACCGTCACATCGGTTAACCGACCGTTCTAGTCGGTAAATTTCAAATGTCCGCTAGTGATGTGGCACTACAATATTTAGCTATGTCTTGGCTACTTTAATATTAATTTCGTTAAATTTTTGCGTGTTTTAGCTGGCAAAAGCGACTCGACCATTGAAGGGAAGCCAATATTTAAACTAGACTTAATTTTCTAATTATGACTGGTTGTTTGTTTTGTGAGCAATAAAATAATTTAAAAATAATTTTTAACGATACAATAGCGACGATTATTATTTAAAAAAATTATTAGGCTTAACATCGATGAAAATTCAACGCGAAGTTGGTTAATAGCGATATACTAATATACTAATTACATGTATTTTTTTTCATTCTTTTTGGTTATCCGATTTTTTCAGTTATCCGACCAACTCGAGTCCCCAATTGAGTCGGATAATCGATGCTCTACTGTACTGAAATATTTTTGGCCCGGGGTTTCGTATAAAGAATTTAATTGTTGTGGCAGTTAAAAAACACATACAGGAAAGCGATTGAGAGCTTAGATAGCATCAGACTTGTTTACAGTTTGTAAAATACACTTCTAAAGTTGACAATTTTTTTTGAAAAATTCCTAAAAATGGAAGACTGTTTTTCGTTAGTAATAAATAAAAACGATATATTTAAAGTAGTTTTATTGATTAATAAATCAAAAACACATGCCCACAAACATCTGATATAAAAAAATCGCGAAAAAAACTGACTTTTGAAAAATTGATTTTTGAAAACAGGGGAACCAAAGTTCCCCGCGCCCAACTGTGCGAGTGTAAGGCCGCGCGCTTAACCGATATACTCTGTTTTTCATTATAGTTTGTTTTATAATATTGTGTAGATTTGCAATTACAAATTAATAAATATTCTATAAAAATGTGAAAACTGTGAGTGGTCTTTTCTTAACAAGTATTATTAGAAATAATAGTGTTTTACTAACTTAATAAACACTGTTGTTATTAAAGGCGTGGTAATCGATTATCATATCCTAATCGATTTCTGTAATCGATTTTCATTTTTTCATTCATAGCCTAGCACTAATCCGTAAAAATGTAATCGCTATTTTTCAGTAAAATATGAAAAATTAACAGATGAAAAGTGATCTATTGTTAGTTTTCTCGTTATTAACAGTTTCGGTAAACGAAGTATCACGCTCTTTCGTAAATACTATTAAATATTACACAATATTAATTTCAAGATTTCCAGTAACGCAATATTCTTACGTGTCACAATAATATACTATACGTTTATTTTATAAATCACGAAGTATGTGATAATTGGCAGAGGAACAAGATAATTGTAACCAGACAAATCGCGTTATTAGTATATTGTTTGACGTCATAAAGGCAAAACAAAATGATTTTGTTCACGTGATTAAACTCATCCAGCATCAGAGTCATCTGTGTTTGGTTCGAATTGTGCGTAGGGTGTGGTCGCCGGTATAAATTGTAAGTATTGCATCGCCATGTTATAAGTATTCTTTTTTTAAAATAAACGACTTCCAACCACTTAATGTTTCTTATCTTTACGTATGACGAATGAAATTTTACCGTATCTTATCAAAATATTCTAATTATTTATCGATTTATACAGAAATAAAAAGAATATTTTCTATTCTGTGAAGAGCATTGTTATGGGAATGGAAGATATTTATTCTTTCTGTCTGCAAGTTAACTGATAAATAGCAAACTGGTATGTATCTCCAGAAAGTTGAAAATTAAAATTACTAGAAATTTGATTTGGAAAGTGAATTATTGTTGATGTGGAATTGTTTTGTGGTTTACTTAGTGTTTATACGCCCTTCGTGATGCACTTAAGACCCCCGCGAGATAGGAATACAGACACTTTACTCTGAATGCTTTATTCGGGGTCCTACTTGGACCGGGCTATCTCCACTCTTATACATTAGTCAGGGCCGCCTGTCTTGCACATCCCTCTCTCTCTGATGTTGCCAGATCTTACCAGATCTTACCGTAACAGGAATGAGAGAAGAACGAAAATGTTTGAAGCATTTGAAATGTAATAATTTAAAGAGATGGGTATATAAACAAAATAACAAGTGATGTGTCGGGCGGAATGGTGGAAAAAAGAAAGCTCTTTATTATGGTTAATGAGAAGAAAGACAAGTTTTGCTTGATGATCCTCGAGAGATTCTTTGGAAGACGTTATTTTGACGGTCATTTGAGAGAGAGTGGAAGGAAAGATCCTTTCAACGATGGTGGCAACTTCGGAGGCAAGTTTTGTTAGATGGAGATGCTTTTGAGGAAAATGTATATGTATATATAATGTATGGCTAAACTCTAGGAGTCTCTCATTTTTCTTACAATAATGATGAGAAAAAATACAAGTTCATTTGTAATAATTTACGGTAGACACTATTAGCACTTCATATCAAAAAACGTACAACTAAAAGAAAAACTTTCAATGCTAAGTAAACTTATAGTGAAACAATTTATAAAACTATCTAAGAACTTTTAGCAGCTTTCGTATCTATCATCTTTAAGTGATAACATTTGAAAATCAAATAACTCTTTACTGATCTAAAATAATTGAAATCAAATACAAATAGAATTTTTAGATTCTAATAACAAAAAAAACTTCTCTCACATACTGCCATTCTATCTTTAAAGATGTAAAAATATATTGCTATACTACCTTTATTATTATGTTGTTGTTATTTTTCTTTTCTTGAACATTTTTGTTTAATAATGATAGATACAACAGTTGTCAAAAGTTATTGCATAGTTTTGTAAATTGTTTCAATATATGTCTATTTAATATCAAAAGTCAGAGTTTTTCTTTCATTATAATCATTTACAATTGCTGTTGTTGAATTTTCTTAATTAACAAACAAAAAAAATTGAGACTATAAAGGGGAAATTAAATGTTGGAGGTTGTAAACATGATCCATTAAAATTATTAACTGAATTATTAAAAATCAGATTAATTTAATTTGCATTTCAGATCTTTTGTTTTATCTTTTATGCATCAAATTTAATATTTCTACAATTTTGAATATTTTGATGTCAATTGTAAATTTTAACAAACGTGCCCTGTTTGCATTTGCCATTTATAATTTTTATAGTGCCCTCTTTAGTTCTTTGGAAATTGCCAATTGTTTGTTTTTGACTGTGTGGTGGTAGGAGACGCTCCTTACAATTTTCTCTTTGCTAACATTTATTCTTCATTTACTTTACTCATTTTCAGTAGTGAAGCTTAAACCTTCCTCCTAATACCACTCACCATTGCTATAACTGCATCAGTCACTGATTTATCAAAAGATGGGTAAATAATAATCTTCCTTAAATGTATGTATAACTCACATTAAATTAAATAAATTTTATAACTATGTAAAATGTCTCTATAATCCAAAATTATGGTAGATGGTCTCACAGGAAATTTTCAGTTAGGAACTATGATTTTATTCTCAAATTAAATTACATATGCATTTCAGGTTGGTACAATATATCCCAACCCCTCCTCAGTGTCTTAAGTATATAAAAATTGTACAAGAGAGAACAACACATCCGTAACACTAACACGTTATCAGCTTCTAAAACACTCAGTAGGTATACAGTATTATACATGCTTGAAGAGCTATTGAAGTAGGTTCTGTTTTCCATACTACATGTCTAGGTATAACATTTCTTATAGATCTTCTTAACTTCATAGTGTTTGGCATATGTTCTTCTCTTATAAAACATCTGAGGTAGTTCATGTCATGTTCTAACATTTCAGCCTTTTTTGTAAGTTCAGCTAACCTTATATCCATTTCTATTTTTTCTGAAATGATAATTTTGGATTACAGAGACATTTTACATAGTTATCTAATATACAGCAATCCAGTTTATATTGTAAATAAATTTTATTTCAATGCATAATACTTAAAAGTGTTTTTAGTCTTTCTTTAGAAGTTTAGTGATTTTGTATGACTGGAAATATGCTGTAGGAGTTTAACTGTTTGTCATTTAGTCTATAATACAATTGGTTTTGTTACATGTTTCAGTTAGTCTCAGTTTCCAAGAACACAGTTTAATAAGAATGTACTATATACATTTTATAATTTTTAAATATTTGTTTTCTTTGACACTTATGATCTTGCTNCGATCTTACGGTTTTTTTTTTTTTACATGTAGTATAGAAATTTATAATAAAGATACATAATGCGGTTATAATAAAATATTAATTTTAATTACATGAAAATAATCGCGCAATATATATTTATTTTTTAGAAAATCCAATGACGGCACGCTACTGGACTAGGCATTAAAAAAATGAAAGTAAAGGATAAGTTGCGTGCTTGCGGGCTGGCCTCGGGGAGTTTTCCGACTTTTCTCCACTTCCGTAACGCCCGAATAGTGCCAGTTGCCTTAATTAAAAGACTTTCTGGGAGGCATTTTCCCTGTTTCCCGCGTACGGCCAAGCAATAAAGCTTTCGGTGGGCTCATGAGATACCAACATCTCTGCTTTATCGGAGAAATAAAGCCGCACGGGCCGATCCTCCACACGAACCGTGCGAATAGAAAAGTTGCGTGCTTCATAGTAATAGGTTTGGTAATCATGCGATATTTAGGACTGTCGGTAATAGTGCTGGGCAATTAATCAATCGCAATCGATTACCTCATAATCGAATAGAAACACTAATCGATTAAACAAATTTCTCCCGCCGGTCAGAGCTCAGGAGTGGACTGAGAGATCGAGTCACGAGAGTGCGAGAAGAAGAAGATGAAGAAGAGGTTAGGCGCGCGGGGAACTATAGTTCCCCCGCCATGCTTAAACGCGTGTATTTTTTTGAATGTTTTTAATGTTGAAAAATGATGCCCTCAGTACCTTCCTTCGATGTACTGAAGATCGCACTAAAAAAATTTTAAATTTCTACGAAAAAAAAATTTTGACACAAAGCCACACCGAAATGCAAGAGTAACATATGTACCGCGCGCGCTTAACGGAGTAAGTTTTATTAGCGTGACTAACAAAGGTGGGCGGATCTGAGTTACAGTTCTAAAAAAACGCTGATTGGTTGATATCGAGTCAGTCATGATAGAAATGATCAATTAGAGCATAAAAGGCGTAAAAACAAGATTTTCAAAGCCAATAAACGGCATAAAAGTTTCCCATAGACTTAGCATTGAAAGTTTGAAAGGTGGAGTTTCTTGGGAATATTTATTGCTAAATGGGGTTGAAAACATGATAAGTAGCTTGACAGTATTTAGACGAATAAACATTCGTCTAAATACTGTCAAGCGACTTATCGTTAGCAAATTAGAAGTGAAAAAAAACGATTAAAACACGCGATTTTATAGCGATTGTTTACATACTTCGATGTGGTAGCCTACGGGAGCGTGGCATTTCGCGGGAATTTTTCCAGCAATTGTTTTTATAGATGGATCTAATCAGTGCCGGCCCGAGGCAAGTTTTAGGATCGAGCGAGATCCTATTATGGCGCCTCCCTTGGTTGCGCTTAATTTATACCAGTGATGCATGCCAGCAAGTAACTTGGAAGATCTCGACGACATCTTAATTAAGTACTGTATCTGTCTAATTTGTCGATTGAAAACAGCCGTACTCGTGGGCACTGAACTCCTCACAGTACCAATAGGAACAGTTCATATAGAATGAAAAAAATATATAGGATTAAGGTACATTTATTTATCACAAATATTATTTTTATAATGGGATCACTCATTATAAAAATTATTTTACTAACTAGTAAAAGAAAATTCAGTCAACATTCATTGATAAGATCAATAAGCATAATC